TTGCCCCGTTCATGTGCATATGGATTTTTAGGTTGAAGGTAGACCCCTGTGACTGTGCCATAGAAGAGGGAGACCACCAGCAGGTGAGAAGTGCAGGTGCCCAAGGCTTTCTTCTGTCCAGCTGTTGACTTTATCCTCAGCACTGCCTTCGCAATAGCACCATATGAGGAAAGGATAAGGATCAAGGGTGCCATCAGGAGAATAATGCTGGATATGAACATCTGGATTTCAATGTGGGTAGTGTCTGCACTGGAGAGCTGGATCAGGGCTGGTATCTCACACACGATATCATCTATCATCCGATGTAAGCAGAAGGGCAACTGCAGTGTAGCCGGAGACTGAATTAGAGACTGAACCAAGCCAGTGCCCCAGGCCACGGTGGCCAGCTGCACACAGACTTTGGTGTGCATGATAGTTGTATATTGCAGTGGATGACACACTGCTACATAGCGATCAAGGGCCATGACAACAAGAAGGACACATTCGGTTGTCCCAAGCCACAGGAAGACATAGAGTTGAATGGCACAACCAAGGTAGCTGATGGTCTTCTCCGGACCCCAGAAATTCACCAACATCTGAGGAACGCAGCTGCTGGTGAAGCACAGATCCAGGAAGGAAAGGTTGGAGAGGAAGAAATACATGGGGATTTGGAGTTTGGGATCCTTCCAGGAAACAAGGATGATGACCATATTTCCTGAAATGGTCAAGCAATAAAAGATCAAAATGACCCAGAAAAGGACCTTCTCCAAATATGGCTTGTCAGAGAAGCCCAGGAGGATGAAATTACTGTGGCTGTCATTGCAAAGTGTGATCATAGCTTCTGAGACAATCGTCTCTTTGGAAGATGGCTCCAAAGTTGAGGATCAAAGACAGGAAGATGAGCAATATGACTCTGTTGGTTCTTTTTTGCTCAAGTACAAGATTTTCATTTGCTCTATTTGGGGAAAGAAATACAAGATTTGTTGAAACATTTTAATCTTTGATATCCATCATTGATTCTCTCTTCTTTCAATATCTTCAGTTTTGTATAACTTCCTTAGTAATCCTACACAAAATACCTCATTGCTAGAGAAAATCCACCTGCCAAATAATTGATACTGTGTGTTTACTGTTAAAATTAAATGCTTACCATACTTATTGCATACCTAATACATACATAAAACATATTCCAGTACATATGGCCTATTCTTTAATCTTTTTCTTTGCTTTTGATATTTTCCTGTGTCTTTGTATTTGCATTTGTCTTTCTCATTTTATTTGCCTTCTCTTCATTTGTCCCTGAATCATCTAGTTTCAAAAAACTTTTTCATTAGAGGACCAGTGTCTTAGCCTAGCTGACTTTTCGTAGGTTAAATGCAAGACATTTCTTCATCTATTTCTGTTGAGGTTAATCTCTTTTCCTGAAAATTTCAAGTATCCCTTATTTTCAGCTTACCTCATCTGCTTTTGAAAACAGAACCCAATGTGATCATGTCAATGCCCTCTGCTTTCTGCACTTGCAAATGCAGGCTAGCACATTTGCATTTTCACCTTTGGAAGCAGATGCCTTTGTTAGCAATACAGTCCATCTCCTCAAACGAATGCTGGCTCAAGTAGAGATTTGATGAACAATTCTGTGAGAACTTAGATTCATCGCACACATGCTGACAGTGGTCTACCTCAAGGGCTGTACATATCTTGGTCCCTGTCCTAAGTCTCTGTCTAGTATCAAGAGAGCCCATTAGGCACACAGACAAGCGCCACCCAGAAGTGCAAGGGTTTAATGGCTCTAGGGGAATAAGACAATTGAAGATGGTACTGAGGCGATAAAATTTTCAGCCATTCTTCCATCCTATTAAAATGTCCTTTTATGTTTCTAATAGAGTTGAGCTCATTGTACACTGACTATTTCATCCCTTTGTTGCTTTTTTTCTGTTTTTAAATATTTTTTTTATTGTAAAGATACTATATAGAGGGGTTACAGTTACAGGAGTAAGGTAATGAATCCATTTCCTATCAAGCATTGTTACCTCCTCCTTTGTTTTTCCTCTAATATCCTTTCCCTCCCCACCTCCTCAACACCCCATCCACAAAGTTGTAAAGTTCGTTTTCAAAATAGTGTCTTGTGAACTATAAACCCATTTCTTTGATGAACATTGATGCAAAATTTCTCAACAAAATTTTGGCCAATCCACTTCAACAATTTATCCCAAAAAGTCATGCACCACGATCAAACAGGATTCATTTCAGGGATGCAAAGCTAGTTCAATATACGCAAATCAATTAATATAATTCATCACATCAACAAGAGCAAGAATAAGAACCATATGGTTATCTCAATAGATGCAGAAAAAGCATTTGACAAGATCCAACACCCTTTTATAATGAAGGCACTGGAAAAATTAGGAATCCATGGAACATTCCTCAATACAATAAAGGCTATATATGACAAACCTACAGCCAGCATTATACTTAATGGTGAAAAACTAAAGCCATTTCCTCTTAACTCATGAACCAGACAAGGATGTCCACTCTCTCCACTTATCTTTAATCTAGTATTAGAAAGCCTAGCTACAGCAATAAGACAAAATGCAAACAAAGGGGGTTCCAAATAGGGAAAGAAGAAGTAAAACTTTTTTTCTTTGCAGATTACATGATCTTGTATTTAAAGAATCCCACGGACGAAATAAGGCTGTGACTTAATATAGCAGAACACTAGTCTTGAGCCCAAAACCCAGGAACAGTGCCCAGACCCTGAGTTCAAGTACCAGAACCAGAACCAAATAAATAAATAAATAAATAAATAAATTGTATATTAAGAAACTGAAAAAAAAAAGAATCCTACGGACTCCACTCTCAAATTACTCAAGCTGATTCAAAACTTTGGCAAAGTAGCAGGGTATAAAATTAACCCTCAAAAATCAATGGCTTTTTTGTATGCCAACAATGAGAAAAGCGTGGCTGAAATTAGGAAAGCAACTCCATTCATAATAGCCCCCAAAAAATAAAATACCTAGGAATTAACTTAACCAAAGAAGTGAAGGACCTCTATGATGAAAACTTTAAAAACCTGAAAAAGAATATCAAAACAGAACTTAGAAAGTGGCAAAAACTCCCTTGCTCCTGGATTGGAAGGATCAATATCGTGAAAATGGCAATACTTCCCAAGGCTATCTACAAATTCAAGGCGATACCTATCAATATTCCAACCTCATTCTTCAAGGAAATAAAAAAGGCAATCAAAAAATTTATATGGAACAATAAAAGACCCCGAATAGCAAAAATGATCCTCAACAGAAAGAACTGCTGGAGGAATATCAATACCAAATTTTAAACTCTACTACAAAGCCATAGTAATCAAAACAGCTTGGTACTGGCACAAGAACAGACCCCAGGACCAATGGAATAGAATTGAAAACCCAGAAATG